TGCCAAGACTGTTTCTGCAGCCTCACCCCCTCCTGCTAGAGTTACCAGAGCTACTTCGAAAAGAGGTATGAATTTTCAGGTTTCTTTTCTTTTAGACTTTTCTGTCTGTTTCCTTTACATTCATACCTTTTGGTGTAGGGTCTCCACAAAAAGAATCTCCTAAGAGAGCTGAAACTCTAGCTGCTCTCAAAGACAAACAATAATAGAAAAAGAAAAGGAAGCTAATACTAACTCCTCAAGAATTTGAATCTCAGACTGAAGAGAGAGAGATTGAGAAAGAGCAAGAAATACCATTACAAAGAACAAAGAGGAAAAAGATGATTGTCTCTCCTGCTTTGGTCGAAGGCCCTACTCATGAGACAGCTGCCAAAGTAGTGGAAAAGGAACTTACTCCTGAAGAGCCTAAAGTCCAGATTGAGGAGAGAGAGATTGAGAAAGAGCAAGAAATACCATTACCGAGAAGAAAGAGAAAGAACATGACTGTCTCTCCTTCTGATTTGGTCAAAGACCCCACTCATGAAGTAGCTACCAAAGTAACAGAAGAGGAACTCACTTCTGAAAAGTCTGAATTTCAGACTGAAGAGAAAGAGAGAGATTGAGAAAGAGCAGGGAATACCATCACAGAGAAAAAAGAGAAAGAAAATGACTGCTTCTTCTTCTGATTTGGTCGAAGACTCCACTCATGACTGCCAAAGCAGTAGAGGAGGAACATTCCAAAGAAATAATTGTTTTTCAAAGAGCTGAGAAGAGGCGACAACAACAATTACTAAGGGATGAAGCACCTGCCACTGATGCAACCCAAAGGGAAACAATGAGAAGGCAACACACTGCCGAGCATTCTTCACTCCGTAATTCTCCCGTCATTGCCACCATCTTTGAAACCAGTAATTTTCTTTCATGTCTCCACTTTCTTTTCCCAAATTGTTGATATGGAGACTTAACATTGTTTTGTACCTCTTCTTTTGCAGTGACAACTACTGAGCATATTCTTCCAATAAGGACTCCCTCAGTTTCGGTTAAAGTTGATCAATTGCAAAATGTGAAGTCTATTCAGATAATACTCCCACTTCCTAGACCCATATTCTCTGTACCCTCCTTGAGGCCAAGTATTCATGCTCCTGCTCCTCCATCTCCGCCGCCATCCGCCTGATGACAGCGTCTTGGTCCCTTAACTTGTTTTCCAGTCGCCTGGCGTGCGAGTCTCTCCTCCGCCGGTGACCGTCTGGACTCCGTGAATGACCATGACTCCTTCCGCGCTTATCCCGCGCGTCTCCTGACTGTCCTCCAGTGGGCGTCCCCAAGTCAGCCATTGGATGGACGGCAGGAGGTCCCTCTCTCCTTCGGGTATACTCCGGGGTGGCTCCGTCGATGGCGGACAACGGAAACTCGTCGTTGTTCGCCATGGACGGCGATCAGACGAGCCTGGAAGACAAGGTTTTGTCTGAAAAATTCCCACAGACGGCGCCAATGTACGGGCTCGCCGGAATATTTGCTCCCCGTACATGTATCAAATCTTATAAAGCGAATAGTGCATCATAAGATTTTAACAAACATGATTAAATAGTTTCCCAAAATAGAATTTTTTTTTTTAAAAAAAAAAAAACATTGAGCAGCAATGTATGAAGTTTACCTTTTTCTTTGGCTCGCGGAGTGCCGGATTGTGACAATGCCACTAATGGGGGAACGGCTTCATGAAGCACCATGCTACAAAATCGATTGGTGTGTGTGCAAAGCTTTAGAAGAGCAGCAGTTGCATTCTCCTTCCCTCTTGCAGAACCCAACTCAACAATCTCAACCAGAACAGGGATCCAAAAAATGGAAAATTTGTATAACGCAAAAAAAAGGGCCATTTCCCTAAATAAGCCAAATTATCAATTCAATTCCCAAACTAGGCCTAGTTTTGAAAGATTTCCCAAAATAGGCTAAAACGTGGTTCACAACCACGCTTTCACGTCTGTGCGCGCCTGTCCGGTGAGAATTGGGAAGTCTTAAAAGCGTGGTTACAAAACGCGCTTTTAATTAAATTTTTTTTCTTCTGAAATCGTTGTTCTAAACCACGTTTTTAACTTACATTTTTTTTGTTCTGAAAGCGCGGTTGTGAACCACGCTTTTAACCAAAAAAAATTTCTTCTGAAATCGTGGTTACGAACCATGCTTTTAGCTTAAATTTTTTTTCTTCTGAAAACGTGGTTATGAACCACGTTTTTTGGCAAAAATTTTTTTCTTCTAAAAGCGTGTTTGTGAACCACGCTTTTTATATGATTTTTTTTCTTTAAGTGAAAGTGTGGTTTGTAACCACGCTTTTAAAACTTATATAAAATCTCCCCAGCCCCGTGTTTTGCATTCACGCTTATTACACTTAACACCTTTCACTCTCGCTGCCTGCTCTCTCTCGCTCCCTGCTCTCGCTCTCTCGCTCTTACTACTCTCTCTCTCTCTCTCGCTCTTGCTCTCTCTCTCGCTCTTACTGCTCTCTTTCTGTCGCTGTGCTCGAGCTCCCTCTGCTTCAGTACTGTCGCTCTCTGTGCTCTCTCTCGTTGGTATGGCTTCTGTCTCTCTTTGTTGATTTACTTTAATGCGTTTTTTGTGTTTGTGAAAATGTAAATGTAGGTATAATGTTGGTAGAATAGGGTTCATGAATGTGGGTATAATGTTGGTAGAATAGGATTCATGAATGTGAAAATGTTGTGAAATCAAAAATAATAAATTAGAGTTAGGGTTTATAATTGTGAAATCAGAAATTACGATTACGGTTTGAGAAATTAGGGTTTTGAATTGTGAAATCTGTTTAAAAATTTGTGAAATCTGTTTATAATTGTGAAATCTGTTGAATGTGAAATCAGATTTCTATCACTACAGCAAATTTGGGATTTAAAGACGAAACAAATTTGTCCCAAAATGTATATATTTCGTCACCCAAACTAATTACGACGAACATTTTCGTCACCCGTTTTGTCTCCAAAGGGTCGTCGCTAAGGGGTCTTAGAGACGAAAAAAAAAATTCGTCATTGAAAATGATAAATTTGTGACGAATTTTTTTGTCTCCAATACACTTTGTTGGCAACATACTTGCAAATAATTAGCGACAAAATATTTTGTCATTAAAGAAGAAATTAGAGACAAAAGTATTTCGTCATAAATATAAGAAATAGAGACGAAATAATCTTGTCACGTTTAATATAAACGAAGACGAAAATTTTTTGTCAAAGAAGCTACCAATAGAGACAAAAACAAATTCATCATTAAAAATGATAAATATGTGACAATTTTTTGTGTCTCCAATACACTCTGTTGGGAGCATACTTGTAAGTAATTAGCGACAAAATATTTTGTCATTAAAGGAGAAATTAGAGACAAAAGTATTTTGTCATAAATATAAGAAATAGAGACGAAATAATTTTGTCGCGTTTAATATAAACAAAGACGGAAATTTTTTGTCAAAAAAGCTACCAATAGAGACAAAAACAAATTCATCATTAAAAATGATGAAATAATGTCAAAAAAAATTCGTAACACATTGAGGGTAATAGTGACAAAATGTGACAATATTTTTTGTCATGACAAATTCATTTAGCGACGAAATAAAGAATTCATGACAAAATTAATTATCCACCTAAGCCAAATAAGAGACAAAAAAAATTTTGTCAGTAATTCCATAATATTTTTTTCCACATTATATACCTATTTTATCAAAATCTAAATTTTAGTTCAACAAATATAACCCGGTTCATGGTTTTTTTTATTTTATTAATAACCCTGTTCATGTTGAAACTTGTTAAGTATAACAATTCCATCACAACTTAACCAAACCTGTTATCAACACATTTACGAATTAACAAAATGAAAATATCCATTCATCATTACAAATAATTTCATCCCAATACAATAAAATAGTGAAATATCGACAAAATATCCAAAAGTTGTAATTGTTCAATTCCACCAAACATCCAACAATAACTAGTGCAACTCTACAAAGTATGCATATCCTTATCAAACAAAAAATGAACATTCAAACAAATTACATCATTGTTGCACGCCAAAAATGTCACCCTAATCCAATCTGCAAAAAAATATATTAAAAGCTTTAGTAATTGATCAATTATACAAAAGATTAAAAACATTAGTAACTTATCAATTTACAATTAGATCAATTATACAATTTATCCCTCTAACAGACTTTTGTCGAGATTATGAGAACAAAAAATTAATTTTAAGGCTAATTCACAAATGGTGCATCCCATTAATGTGCCGTAAGTTCATACAACTTATATTGGTCCCTCCTAATGTGTTTCTATTGGTTCCTGTACAAATCTGTGATTGTGTAATAATTTAGCATTTCGACGACTTTTTTTGAAGCTTTAAGTATAGAGAAAAAAATATTTTTTGAACTATTTTCGCCTCCGAAACGCCTATTTTCGAGTAAGTATAGAACGTATTTGGCTCTAACTCTCTACCTACAGGTCCGAATTACATTCCGTCAGTTGTCACAAGTCCTATTTGTCATTGAGAAGCTGTCCGTGAGAGTCATACGGTAGTTCGGGGGCTGTTTTGAATTTTCGCTCCCAAAAACGCCCTTTTTCTTATTATTAATAATACCCACATGCATTAGATAACCCAAGTTTTTCTTAAGCCCGAGATTATTAATAGTTCCTTTATTTTAGTATAAGAACTCAAGTATAATGCCTTCTTTGTTTTCTTTTATTTTCTTGTTCTTTTTAATATTTTTCTTAAATTGTCCAAACACATCCTGAGGTAGCTCAAGAATAGGTTACTATGCCAATAAAGCTGATGTTTGTTAGTCAGTGTGAATTCATTAATAAAATTATTAACTTATTGACAAGCATTGAGGACAAAAGAAAAGAAAACAAAGGGTTAACTATGCTAATGTCTGATTCTAATGTAATAGGTTCTTGGAGAGCCTATTGGAGATAAGGATTTGGATTAAACAGGATGCTCACATTCAATAAACTAATGTCACTATCATAATATGCCTCCACATCTACTTCCAATCACACTCTAGCCAAGTATAGAAGTTAAAAATATCTTGGCCATCATCAAGACAAAAATAAACAATGATAGACAACATATTTTACATATTCACTGGACATGCTACCTATCATTATTAAAAAATACAGGCAAGAAACAACTAGGCAGAGGCAATCATTGACCACAAACACAAAAGAAGTAGCAAAGATAGTAACTTCTGTAACAGAATTTGACCACAAACACAAAAGAAGTAGCAAAGATAGTAACTTCTGTAACAGAATCATGGGTGAATAAATATAGATGGAAAAAAAATGCTTTATTTCTTAAAACAGAAATCGATCAAAATAATCTCAGATAAAGTATTGAAATTAATGTGTCATTATACCTAAGAGACATACAATGCAAATTTAATTATACAAATAGATGACTACACACAAATTCTACATCATTTGTACATTGCAGAAACTTATCAAGGAACTAACTATATCTATAGTTGAATTTGATAACAAAGTCCATATGTTGTAACACAACAGAACAACTTAAACAAGAAATGTGATCATATGATTGAGTAGTACATAGGTTTCAAGTTTAAAAGTTTGAAAAACATGCCAATTGATCAGTATCAATATTGCAAACTTAAAGGAATTGACCTGTTAAGTGAGGCAAACATGGCATGGCACGGGATTAAATATTACAACTTACCCAACCAAGTCAGAAGCAAGAACAGCATGCAGAAGCTCTGATCGAGATGGCAGTGTCTTGTGGATTTCTGAAGAAGGAAAAGGTGTGGAGAAACCAACCAACTTTCATATCATTGTTGTGCTCCTTCAAGCATTTTGGAAGGAACATGAGGTGGTAGTCATGGCACCAAACAACATCACCCTCCTGGTAATGCTGGTTTACCACGGCAGCAAACATTACACTTTCTTTCACATATGCAGCGAACTGAGACTGAAAACTTCTGGGTAGTGGCGAGATGATCTTCTTGCGAAAGTCCAAGATAATGAAAAAGAGGCCATAATATGTTGTTGAAATAGCCATTATAACATTGGTGAACAAATAAATAAAAACAGGAATTTAATGATGCTCACAAGAATTCTTCATGATTCAAAATAAAATATCAACTATCAATGTCCCAAGACTAAACAAGGGTGCAAAGATTGTAGCTGAAACTCTGAACCGTTTCAGCCAAAGCTTTAGTAAGTGCCCTCTGCCCAGCCTCATCTGGCACATTAACACCAGCCCACCCAATCCATCTTGCCTCAAACTCTTTCACACCTTCAAAAATAATTAACACGCATTATTAGGTTTCTTTATGTGGGTAGAAATCCAATCCTTACTCTCTTTTTTATTCATTAAATTTGAGTGAAAAATTGGTTAAAACAATACAACAAAAACAGATAAAGATCACACTTTTTTTGTGTGATTTATGTTATTTAATCACTTTTTAAGTTTTGTCAAAGTGTGATCTTTGGGAGTGTGATTAAAATGGTCATTTTTAATCACATATTTTAAGTGTGATTAATAACATTTAGATCACATCTTTTAATTGTGATTAAAAACTAATAAAACCTGTGATAATAAACATTTAGATCACACATTTTAAGTATGATTAAAAACTAATAAAAAATGTGATAATAAACATTTAGATCACACCTTTTAAGTGTGATTAATAACATTTAGATCACATCTTTTAAGTGTGATTAATAACTAATGAAACCTGTGATAATAAACATTTAGATCACATCTTTTAAGTGTGATTAATATCTAATAAAGCCTGTGATTAATAATGAGATAAGATCACACGTTATATGTATTTTTCATCACAGTTAATGCGTGTGATAAAAAAAGGATTCAACACATTTGAAGAATAATCAATATTATTTTTGTACGCACATTTCAAGAATGTAATACACACTATATACTATACTTTGAATAACAACCACATATTGAATGGAATAACATCATATATTTCATAAATGAAAGTTAATATGTTCAAAAGTATATACAAAGGAATTAAATAAAAGTTTCACTACTATAAAAAGTTAAATATGTACGGTGGTGATTGTGCCTTTTCACATCAAGAAGTTGCAAACCGATCAGTCTCCTACCTTGGAGCTTATTGGCTTGCTGCAAGTTAGCTTGTTACTCTAGTTTCCTTCTCCACAATATGTCCTGGGTAGTATCTCCAAACATCCTTGCTCTTGAATTTGAAAAACAAACCCCAAACATCAGTGACATAATATGATTGGGTTTGCAACAATCAGGGATGAAACCAAGGACATTCGTAGCTTTAATGTATGTGTGAATGGAGCGAAAACAATGCACATTTTTGCTTACCATGCTGGAGAGCATAAGGGTCTCTTGAATCTAAGCCAGTAGGGCTACCACATGCTGAGAACTCTCATCTCTCCATTTGTTGCTGCTGATGCTGCAGCTTCCTGTAATTTCCCATTGACATTAACAAAGAAAACATGAGAATGCTTATATCTACAAAAACAGAATTCATAACACAGACAGAAGAGAAGAGAGAGTGCCTGTATTTGTCAGGGACCTTGCCCTTCTCCTTGTATGGTTTCACAAGCACCCGAGCATCACACATACAAAATGAGGGTTCCCTTTAGCAAGAATGAGCTTAACAGTTTCTGGGTAGACAAAGGTAACAAACCCAAACATTCTCTTTTGTTGATATAGAATCCTCACATCTTGAATTGGTCCATAAATACTTGAAAAACCAATTAAGAAATAGTTTAGAAACTAAAAGGGCATTCAATTGAGTACAAATAGCCAAATCTAAACATATATACCTGGAATAATTGGAAACATCCTCTTCTCTAAATGTGCTATCAGCTGGAAAAGTCAAGTAGATCTGTCTTGAACCAGGGTTCACCATTTCCAGCCCACTGTTTATCGGAAACTCGTTCCTATCAAGCCAGGATAGACTAAATTTGTGCATATCCTCACCCATCATCAACGTCGTGGCAGCCCGGCCCTTCAACATGTAGAGCAAACCAAGTGTAAGTAAAAGTGATCACTTCACAAGAGAGTAACATATGAGTTAAATTATGAAAGAATATATGATGTATATATGTACCTTTGGGTATCACTTTGCTGTTGTTGGAGGAGGAGATTCATGCATTTGTTTGTGGCTACAGCAGAGTAAAGGAGGGTAGTAGAAGCCATAAGCTGAGAAGCAGCAACTAACCTCTGTTGTTGTGCTGATTTAGATCTGACAATCGCCCAAAGTTTGCTTCTTCACTTTATGCAATCAACATAAGTTATGGAAAACAGATATTTGGAATAAGCCATGTAAATAACAGTGAATTAAGTAAGAGATTGAAAGCTGAAATGAAAATAAAAGGATTTAAATAACGAACGAATGAGGAGAACTTCTTAATACCTTTAAGAGTAACAATAGTAGTGAGATTGAAGAAAAGGAGCCACAAAAAACCAATGCAAAACTAAACTAAATCATCCAATTATGGCTAATTTATCATCAAAGAAGTCCACAACAGCTTTAGGAGATGTAAAGGGACTATCAGGGAGGTTGTGTTCCAAGCTATTATGGGTTGCATTTCTGTTGATCCAAAAAGTAATATACCTTTCTGGTAAATCACTTTCTTCATGCAAATGGGGACTTTCTTTGCCACTTCCATTGCCAATGTCATTACCATTGTCGTTACTTGCTATTGATGTTTCTTTTTCTCTTTCTTCTCTTTCCCTTTCTCTTTCTCTTTATGAGATACATTTGTAGTCTGTTGTAATTGTTGATCACCCGCAGCAGTTGCTGCAACTGCCAATGTGGGGTTGGATCCATTCTCTATAGTAAAACAATAGATTGGCATCAACATTTTCATTTCTCAACTCAACATTGATTCTACTAAGCATAATAACCACTGTGACCTAAACAAACAATAATTTAAGGTTAATACATTTGTCAGATTAAAATCAAAATGAGAAATACACCTTCTATGACTTCAGGACTAACAGGCAAAATTTACCTCCAAGACTGCAATACAAGAACCATTGTAAACAAATATTTGAAGAATTGATAAACCCTCTCTCTCCGTGCTTCATTACCTTCTTCTCTGCCCTGCCATGCCCATGTATTCTTTGGGGTTTTGATAAAGAGACAAACCAATGAGTGAAAAAAAGGTCCATACAATTATTCACTAAATATGATTCAATAAATTGAAACAGAAAACAAAAGGTCAAGAGACAACTCATGAAACTCTGCAATCCATTGATTTAGTCAAAAAGCATATTTGTGCTTATATGAGAGAGAGAGAGAGAGAGAGAGAGAGAGAGAGAGAGAGACATCAAGTGTTACAGTAAACTACTTTCATAACCAAATGAACAATATCTCACCTTGTTCCACACCATCAACTTTGGAATTGATGCCACATCCAGTTCACTTAGAACCTTGTCCACAGCATCAATCTGTTGCTCTGCCAGTGGATGGCTGAACTTGATAACAATACGTTATGAGAAAATAGTGTTTGTCAAGCAGAGATAAATCCTCTTCACTAATTCACCGAGTTATAACTAATATCCACCACATGCACCAGAAGGGATGACTCAGAAATTTCCTCCAAGGTTGCCCTAAGTAGTAACCTGCAGCAAAAAGCACTGATTAGGGGAGAACAAAGAAAAATAACATGATTTCTTGAGCTTCAAGTAAGTTTACATTTACTGGAACCTCTTTTTCAATCGTCAGTTGGAAACAAAAAAGAAAGGAAAGATACGAGGAGTTCGTGTGATATAAATTATTAGTAGCAATGATTGTCACATATGCAACTTGAAGATGTAACAGAGCTTACAAGTGTAGTTGGTAATTTCTGAATAAATCCAACAGTATCTGTAAGAAGAAACTCCTTCCCATTCTTCATCTGGATAGAGCCAACAGAACAACATATATGTGAGTTACACCAATAAAAAGAAAGCTTTAAATCATAAGATATAGAGGTTACACTGTTGTCTAACAGAGCTAAAGATGGTGTTGCACGTAAATGAAATGGCTTTCAAAAAATGGAACCATTTTCCACATGACATTGATTACTATATTGAGTAACTACTCTTATTCTTATATAATCATCAAGGGGCAAGAAAAATAAAAATGTGTATATATACTTGTCATACAATCAAGTCTTTTCAAGTACACCTTACTAACCTGTACCCTTCTAGGGCAGCCACTAGATGGAGCCAATCCAAATATCTAATAGTTGTTCAAGCATGGGTCATGAGTAAAAGTGTGTTCAAGCTTTGGTCGAGCTCCTAAAAATGTGTGAGCTTGACCTAACTGCCTAGCCACTACTCACCAAGCTCACAAGCCATGTAGACTCATTTTTTATATGTGTATACTTTTCTAAAACCTATAATCTCAAATGAAAAGTGTCACTCCATTGTTACTTTTAACTTCAATTTTGAATTTGTCGCTTCCACACAAAAAAATGAGTCTACATAGCTCTGTTGAATGAGATTGTTGGAAGAACAGCAAAAGCTGTCATTAGAAACAGCATAGCTCTGTTTTTTGGGATTTCTGAAGTCAAAAGAATAAATAAATAAACGAAAAATGAAGATAATAAAATAAAAGCAAGTCAATTTTCTAAAAATGTGCTTTGAAAATAGGTAAGGGCAAAGCACATTAGGGCCAAGAAAATAGACAAGGCAGAGCCTGACTGGCATTTAACAGAACTTCAAAATACATCCCAAAATTGAAATGGAAAAGGCTGTATTTCATCTGACTATTGCCTCCAGATACATAACTATATGAGTCGAAATCAGTCAAAAACTTCAATCGGTAAAGAAAGCAAGCACAATGTCGAAGAAATCTACAAAAAATTGAACGAAGATTATGATATATATATATACATAACTATGTCTACATGTATCGAAATCAGTCAAAAACTTCAATCGGAAAAGGACAGAGAATAACCTGAATGTCGATGGGAGGCGAGGCAATGGTGAGCTGCGGTGGCGATGTTCGACGGTGGCAGATTGACAGACAGTGTGGTCATGTGCGATGCTGTGTGTGTGTGTGTGAGAGAGAGAGAGAGAGAGAGAGAGAGAGAGAACCGTGGGCAAAAATTTAGGCGCCAATATAAAATATTTACCACTAAAATTTTGAACACATTTTAGTCACTAAAGATAGGTTACCAAAGATTAAAAAAAAAAAAAAATTATTTGGCGACTAAAATAATTTTTTGTCGCTGAAAGTAAGTTTTTGGTGACTAAAACTTTAGTTGCCAAAGAGAAAAAATAATTTTTTTATTTTCCATTCGACGACTAAATATTTTAGTAGCCAAAAGTCAACATACGGTGACTTTTTTTTTTGTCGCTGAAAGTAAGTTTTTGACGACTAAAACTTTAGTCGCCAAAGAGAAAAAATAAATTTTTTATTGCCCATTCGAAGACTAAATATTTTAGTAGCCAAAAGTCAATATACAGCGACTAAGTTTTTTTTTTTTGTCGCCAATTCTGGCATTTTTAGCGACTAAATTTTTTTTTAGTCGCCAATAATGAATATACCCCGACTAAAAAAAATTAGTAACTAAATATTATACTTTTTGCGACAAAAAAAAAAAGTTGGTCACCAATCCCATAACTTTTGACGACTACATTTTTTTTAGTCACCAAAGGTGCATTTTGTTGTAGTGTAAGCAAAAATATGTCACTACCTTAACCGAAATTATAATATCAAGTTGATTTGCAAACCCATCACAATTTATACTCAAAAACAAATTGAAGAGATGTATATCTAGTCTAGAGCTACACAGGGAATATACATACATACACATACATATATAGGGCCATAGACACCCAACCACCCATAGAGTGAGAGTTATTTCTATTTCTAAGGAGTAACAAGTCAAAGATTAACCAAGCAAGCGATGACTGCTGAGCAGTATATATGAACAGCCATAAATGTCATGTTGTCAACTTCATGTTTTCTCATATCATTCAAATCATAAACGACCAATTAAGTGGTTGCATTCCATATTTTCCTCATTTTGAACTATAAACAAATATTAGAACAAAATAATAACGAAATCACAACAAATAAAAGGTAAATAGTAATTAACGTGTAACTATACAACATTACATATATACACATGGCCAATAAAACAAAATACATATATACATGAACAAATATATACAAGTACCTGTATGAAATGGGGGCTTGGCTTTGATTTGGTTTCTCAAACAAAACAAATCTTGAAATCTCTTTGAACCTGTGTCAAAACAAAGTGGGCTAAAGACAAGGCCCTTCCTGCCTATTTTGATACAAACAGAACAAGGCAGGAATTTACCGCCACGAAGCACATGTCCAAATCAAAAAGCAAGGCAAATAGATTAGTAGAAATGCCCACCATAGATGCAAACCACCATTCCTGACATACACTTGCATCATCCTTCATCTTCTACCATCCACCATGACTAGCCAGCAACCAACCTCTACTCAATCCGTCTGAAAATAATAGAGTGTGCATGAATCGACCAATTCACCTGCTAATTTTTGTTTCCTTTCATCACACAATTCAAGAGATGGTATGTGGTTTGTCCGCTCTTTCGATTTCTAGAGATACGTCCATAGTACAAAGATATAATTTTGAGCTACAGTAAGTCGCCTCCACTCTGGGCCTAATTATCATGGCAGCACCACCGATTCCCATGGGATATCATACAAATAACAATAACATTTTACTTATAATATATATATATATATATATGCATATATATATATATATTTAATAAAAATTTATATTCGTTTTAGATATTTTTTTAATATACAAATTATTTTTCAAAAATTTTTTATAAAAATAATTTAACAATCCCATCAATAACCATAATGTATGGGCCAAGTTGAAAAGAGTGTAGGAGTAGGTATGAGAGAAGTGAAAACGGTTTGTGGGTTGGGAGAAGTCAATAAATGTTGAGGTTTTTTTTTTAAATCAAAAATTTAGAAAATTAAGATTTGAATATTGGAACTCCCACAAAGCATGTGAGTTAAAAATCCTTTTTTCCTTATATAATATACTAGCATATCACCCGTGCTACGCACGGGTTGTGTTTCACCACTGTCTTTTTTTTTTTCTTTTTTTATACTATATTAAAATTTAATATTTTGATACTAATCATATGTGTTGAACTTTTCAAGGAATTCATATGTGATGGACTTTTCAAAGAATTTTTTTCATGCTTGTTCTTAATGCATTAAAATGTTATTATGAGGGATAATAATCATGTGTTGAATATTTCAAGGAATATATGTACTTCACAATTATTTCTATATATATGAATTGTGATTTTTAAATGTCTTTTTTTTAAAATGACTTCTTTTTTTTTATATTATATTAAAGTGTAATATTTTGATAATAATCATATGTGTTGGACTTTCAAGAAATTCATATGTATTGGACTTTTCAAGGAATTTTTTTTTATGATGTTTCTTAATGTATTAAAGGGTTATTATGAGGGATAATAATTGTATGTGTTAGGACTTTTCAAGGAATTCATATGTGTTGGACTTTTCAAAGAATTTTTTTTATACTTGGGGGTTGAGAGAAGTTAATAAATGCTAAAGTTTTTTTTTTAAATAAAAAATCAGGAAATTTAGATTGGGATATTGGAGCTCCCACAAGACTTGGGGGTTAGAAACCCCATTTTTCTTAATATATAAATATAGATAGATATATCTTTTTATTTTTATTTTTATTTTTGTGTGGTTTTATTGGGGTATTTTTTTTTTCAATTTATTTAAGATGGAGTTGTGGGTATCTTTTTTTTAAATTTAATTTATCTGTGGTTTCCATTTGTTTTTAATTATTATTATTTAGGTAAGTTATGATGTGAGTTAGATATGTGATAGACATGTGAGTTTTATTGATTTAAAGTTTATTTAGATAAACTTTAAAGTTTTTATTTTTAGTTTTATAGTTTTTTTTTGTTATGTTATAATATAATATATAAAATATAGGTAGATATCTACAACTTTAATGAAAAATATTATCTGATTTTTTTGGGAAGAGAAAATGAATGCAAGTTTTAATATTTTTTTTTGAAAATTTGTGAGAGAGATTAGGAGGGAAAGATTATGAAATATTTTTGTTATTAAATAAATAAATCAGTCAATAGTTTTTTTTAATCTATTTTGTAAATTAAAAATAATAATTTTGGAAAATTGATTAATTTTTCTCATTAAGTGATTCAAAAAAAACATAATTATATTATTAAATCATAATTCAAATTTAGATATTATATCTTTTTGAGAACTATAGCTAAATTCTTTTTTATTTTTTTTTATTTTTGTGTGTAACCATAGTGTATGGGAGAAATTGAAAAGGGTGTTGCAATATTTATGAGAGAAGTCAAAAGAGATTGTGAGTTGGGAGAAGTCAATAAATGAGGTTGGGTTGGGAGAAGTCAATAAATGCTGAGGTTTTTTTTTTAAATCAAAAAATTAGAAAATTAGGATTAGGAAAACGGAGCTCGCACAGGCCTTGGGGTTAAAAACCCCCTTTTGCTTAATATATAGTATAGATAGATAGATAGATAAATAGATAGATTTAATAAGAATTTATGTTTGTGTTAGATATTTTTTTAATATACAAATTATTTTTTGAAAGATTTTTTTATAAAAAAAATTTAACAATCTCATCACTAGCCATAGTGTATGGGAGAAGTTGAAAAGGGTGTAGGAGAAGATATGGCAGAAGTCAAAAAGTGGGTTGAGAGAAATCAATAAATGCTGAGTTTTTTTTTTTTAAAATCAAAAATTTAGAAAATTAAGATTGGGATATTGGAGCTCCCACAAGGCTTGTAAGTTAAAAACCTCATTTTCCTTATATAATATATAGATAGATAGATAGATAGATAGATAGATAGATAGATAGATAGATAGATAAATTTATATGACACAAGGACCAAAGCACCGGGACAATTGCTGCAATTTGTCCTCATCTAAATTAAAGGGATTTAAAAAGTAAAAAAAAAAAAATTATAATATTAAAAAATGTTCACTAAAAAAATATAGATTAAAAATTACAAATTAATTATTGAAAACTCCATACTAAACAAGGTAATATTTTCTATTAATTTTGAAAATTAAAAAATTATTATTAATTTTTCCTCTGTTTTTTTTCTCACAAAAAAATAACTACATTATTTTATTTTATTTTTTTGTGGAGAGGGGTTTTGACCTGTGATTTTTCTAAAATGGGTGTTCTAGATGGAAAGGGTAGAGTTGGTTCAGACAATAAGAAAAAGTGCTTACGCAAGAGGCACCTTTACTATGAAAAAGAATAGTCGGTTTTGCATAAGGTGCCTTCTTAGATAATAGTTTCAATATTGGCATGCATGAAGGGCTTAAGTGTGAGACATATGAGAGGGGCTTTAGTGTGAAAATAGAAGAAATGGTTTACAGAGTGTTTTCTTGCTTCACGACTTCAATACTTGTTAGAAAGGAGTAGACTCAAGTGTGAGAGAGAAATGAGGGTTTGTAGGAAGTGTCTTCTTGGGTTGCGACTTGAGTGTCCGTGCACATGAAAATGAGTGATAAGGGTCAGAGTGTGTCTCTTGGGGTAACGGTTTCAGTGCTCTGAAACACAAAACCATAGCATTTTAATAAAGAGAAATAATTAGTGAAAAAAAATTCTGGGAAGTGATAAGTTTTATGGGTTAAAAAAGAGCGAAAATATTTCGTCACCAATACACACTTTCATCGCTCGCTTTATCTTTTCTCGCTTAATTTAGGTCGACGAAATATAATTTTTGTCTCAGA